TGGTGCGGCGAGGTTGCACTCCCGAAAACACCACTTTCGGGAATAGTGGGACACGGCTCTGATTCGTTCGGGCGCCAAAACATGACGTTCTGCAATTTTATTTTATTTTTTGGGAAAGTGTTATGCTTTGTATTGTTTCAGAAATGGAAGATGAGGCTTGGGACCTCGCAATTCAACCCGGAAGAAATTTTACTGGGGCCATTACCCAGCTTCAACGGATTGCTGGAAACCGGGTCAGCGTCCCCAATAGCCATCTCTTCCCAAGTACTTTCCAAAAACGTCGTGAAGCACCAGAGCTTAAAGCTAGCTCTCTCAAGGGGAGTGCAGTCAACAACAACAAGCTATTCGTGAAAAGTGGACCAGGCAAAAAGTCCGGTTTGCAAAAGCCGACATGTTTTATATGAAAAAACTATATATCGGAAAATGCAATGTGACCCAAGGCTCATATGTCCCCAGAACTGTACGGAAAACCTATTTTTAGCGAAAGGGAAAAACAAGCCAAAATTTCCCAAAAATTAAAAAAAAAAAAGAAGAAGTTTTTATAGACATTTTGAAGATAGCCACTCAACGACCTGCGTTCGAATCCAGATGAAAGTCTTTCATTACTGAAAAAAGTAGAAAAATGAAGAAACCACCAGTACACTTGCACCTAAAATCCCGAACCTACCTGCCCACTGCGCGCCACTATTTCCCAAGCCTTCTGCGTGAGGGTACCTGCAGTTGGAATTTCGGAAGTGGCACTGGTGCTGGCGGTCTGCCTGAAGGGGAAAAAAAAAAAAAAGAAAAGAAAAGAAAAAAAAAAACATGCCAGAGAGCAATGGTGAAAGGAAGTCATGGAGGCGATACCCAAATGATCACTTTCCTAAATGCATCTGACCACTATTACGGGGAGAGGGAAACGTTGCTGTTTTTCCTTTTTTTCTCATTTTGTTTTTTCCTTCCTGGCCCTGCCAACAAGGCAACGCATATTCCTCTTCCTCAAAACGCCCTGGCTGAGGGCATACTCACACTAGCGACGTTGAAATGCATCCAACCACTTTCACGGCCAAAGCGTTGTTGGCTTTTTTTTCTTTTTTTCTTTTTTTCTTTTTTTCTTTTTTTGAGAGTCCGACGGTCCTGCTCCCCATGTTCTACGTTCTGCTGAAGTGCCCTCACTGAGGGCAAAATCGCACTAGTACCAAAGTGTATCCAACTGCAATCACGGCCAAAGCTTGTTTTGTTATTTGGGACGTACGAATTTGAGATGGGCCCAAAAATTTGAAAACCTTCTGACGCTCCGACCCTGCCCCGAGCCCGCCTTTTACTTCTTGTGGCGACAAGTTATTTTGCTGCAAGGCTGAGGGCACGCTCACACTGCGGTAGCAAATCCGTATAAATTGTGAAAATGGGTTGGGCCGAATTGGGGTATTTGGGACGTTTCAGGTCACACTGCGTTCACACCATGTTCCCATTTCGCTAAAGACACGGTCGCTACCGTGCCATCAGGGTGCTGCTGTTTGGGGTTTCCAGTCACACAGAAGTAACCCCAAATATAGAACGTACATGTTCCCTTTTCAACTTTGCATTCATTTACGAAAATTAAATAAAAAAAGAATAAGGATTTTGCGGTAACCTCTGGAGGTTACCGCAAATTCCTCAAACCCGCGGCCAGGCATGCCGCTGACAAATGGGTTTGCGAATGGGGTGTTTGGGGTCGGAACCATTGTGTGTGACCAGCCGTGTGCACATTTTTTTGGGAGTTTTACGGTTTTGGTACCCAGTGTGAGCGTGCCCTGAGGACGTATACTGGTGGTTTAAAAAGCGCGATTGTCATATATCCTAAATTTTCAGCGCCAGTGCCGCCCTTTCCCATGTTCCCTCCATTGCGCTGCTTTCCCCCCCTTCAACCCTTACCCGCCGCCCTCTGCGAGCCCCGTTTTTGGCCCTTGTATTGGAAGACCAATTACATAATCGGTCTTCCAGGAAATCAACCCGAAACAACAACAACAACAACAACAACAACAACAATGGAATCTGCAATCCCTTGGCCCTGGTCTTGGCAGGCCATTGGCCATAGGCAGAAGCAGCCACGACCTTCGTAGGGAATATGTACAGACTTGGAAGGAGAGCGGTGATATGGGCACTTTGGTGGCAGAGATGCACGCTGTCCATGGAAAAGGTGAGAGCAGAAGAGCCAGAAATCACCGAACAGATTCAACAGCAGGTACATTTCGAATTCACACAAAGATGGCTAGGCACAAAAGCACAGTTAGACCTCAGAGTCTTTAAACAAGTACTAGTAGGAGATGTGAGGAGACGAATCACAACATTTTGTACAGACTGGGTGGGAGGGGAGAGGGAAGGATGGATTGCAAGAGTAGAATGGAGAGGAGACAGGGGAGAGGGACAGAGGGATTTGGAAGAGATGAGAGACTACCGCCTAAGCTTCAAAGACTGGACAAACATAAAACCCTCATTCCCACTTCGGCCCCCCGCTGATTTTCCAGACCCTTTCCCACCCCATGCTCTTTCCCTGTCAGAGATCCTGTCCTGAATGATGAAATCCTGTAACGCAGTCTTCTTCACACTCATACTCAAACAAAGAACTCCCCCCTGGATCCCCCCGGGGAGGTTTTTCTTCTGCTAACAACCATATTTTTTTCTTTTTTTCGTTGCTCAGTGAACCCCCCTTCTACAGATCGGGGCAGTCAATGCTGGCAGCCTGAGCACTCTAAACAAGAAAGTATGGGGGGCTGGGAGGGGGAGGGAGGAACTAGTGTGTATCAGTAGGTATTTGGCGCCGGGTTCAGGGTGAAGAGGTCCCCCCTTCCTTCCAATATCCTGCTCAGTCAATGCCCTAGATCCCAGGATAATCAATGCTGGCAGGGACCCCCCCCCTGCAACAGTTTTTTTTTCCGATGTAAAAAAAAAATAAAAAAATAAAAAAAAAAAAGATATTCAAGGCCTCCCTTCACTCATCAGCACTTGCAGGAAAACACACACACACACACACACACACACACACACACACACAC